ATAATTAATTTTACTATTATTTATTGATTAGATGGAGTAGAAAAAAAATAAAAATAAGGGTTTTGAAATATTTAGGTTTTGTTTTTCACAATAAAATATATAGGTTACCGTGGAATTTATTGAGAAATTAATATTAAAAGATCACAAAAAATGTTCAACTAGGTTACTTCAAATTTTTTTTTAATATTAATTTCTCAATAAATTCCAAGGTAACCTATATATTTTTTTGTAAAAAACAAAACCTAAATATTTCAAAAACCCTGATTTTAGTTTTTTTCTACTCCATCTAATCAATAAATAATAATATAATTCGAGAATTGTTGTTGAGGTCTTATTTTCTCGTAAGAAACTGTACAAATACTCACATTTTTAAAAAAAAATTCTCAAAAATTTGCACGATAAGGTATAGTTAAAAGTTCAACTAGATAAATAAGGACTTCAACTATTAGAAAAAAATAAATTTTAGTCATAATCTAATATTTTTATTTAACATTGGTGGCAAAAGGGGTGGCGAAAGGACCTCCTTAAGTAAAAAGTTGTAATACAGTTTTCTTAAAAAATATTTCAAAATAAAAATGTTTTCTACGAACTCTTACAAAACGACATCTTTCGCCACAGGATACTTTCAGCGAAAACTTGATTTCCGTCACTAGTGAGAAAAAATCCCATAACGTTTACTTTCGTCTCTAGTGATGAAAGTAAGTTGTTACATATTTTCATATATCAGTCGCCTCGTATAATAGTTTGGCAGCTTATAATTATTAATAATGAAATAAAAAGATGCTCATTAAATTCTATATGCGTTTTTACCTAAACTTTAATGAATTAAAGATAAAATAAAAATGTATAAAAATAGTGCAAATTAAACCAATCTACATCTAGTTTCCTGGTTTTCATTTGTTTATTTGAAGTTTTATCACTTTTGAGAACTGTCAGTTTCAGTTCGTCCTAAATTTAACACATTTTCATGATGTCTGAGTCAGAAAGCGATTGTACTCCCCCAGAAATTATTTTTAAAGCTGAAGAAACCTCTTCAGATTTATTACCGGCCAAATCAAAAAAGAGATATGAAGAAATTTATATCAAATTTTTGGACTGGAGAGAAAAAAATAAAGTGAAATCATTTTCGGAAACTGTACTACTAGCATACTTTGGAGAAATATGTTCAAATTTTAAACCGTCGACGTTATGGTCCATTTATTCGATGCTAAAAACTACACTCTCTGTTAAAAATGATGTCGATATTAGTAAATATCCAAAGTTACGTTCGTTTTTGAAAAGAAAATCTGATGGTTTTAAAAGCCAAAAATCCAAAATTTTTTCGTCTGAAGACATAAAGACTCCTAAAGAATGCACCTGACTATAAATATTTAATAACGAAGGTAACGGAATTATTATTTTTATTTTAACAAATACTTAATACATAACTACTAATATCTACAGGTAGCATTAGTTTTTGGATTATCTGGCGCTTGTCGTTGCCACGAACTAAAAGATTTAACAATAAGCGATGTAAAGGATACTGGAAGTATTCTGTTAGTTAAAATCCGTAATACAAAAACAAAAGTTCCGCGTTCTTTTCATATTTCTGGACCCTTTTATGATATTTCTAAAAAACATATGAGCCTACGTCCCGCAAACATGGATCAAATTAATTCAAGATTCTTTATTAACTATCAGAATGGAAAGTGTAGCAGACAGGTTGTTGGAATTAATAAAATCAGTAAATTTCCTAACGAAATTGCTCAGTTTTTAACGCTTCCAAATCCTCAAGATTACACTGGGCACTGTTTTCGCAGAACATCCGCAACGCTATTAGTGGATGCAGGAGGTGACTTGCTTCTGTTAAAAAAGCACGGTGGTTGGAAATCTAGTAGTATTGCGGAAGGACATGTTGATGAATCCACGAACAGTAAAAACCAAATACAAACCAAAATTTTACAATCTGTACAAAATAAGGAAACTACTAGTTCATCCGATTATGGCGCATCATCATCATCTGAAATGACATTTAACAGTAGAACAAATATGTCGGCATCTACCTCAATAAATAAAAAGCTTGAGTGTGATACCCCCATAATTTTGAACAATTGTTAGTTAATTTTTTGTTATTCCTAACACAAAATAAAGCATTTGCTAACGTTTGTTTTTTTTTTTTTTTCATTTTAGTAGGTACCTACATGACATAATAGAGTTCGTAGAAAAAGTATAGTGTTTTACTCGTGGAAAATCATTTTTTGAAGCTCGTGAATTGTTCTCTCGCTTCAAAAAATGTTATTTTCGTCACTCGTGAAACAATATACTATTACAATTTTATTAATGCTTAAACATTTTGTTCCTATTACAATAATAATTATTTACCTTGACATCTAAATGAACAACACCATTTATTGCAAATACTACAATGGTCCGCTGGTTCAACCCATTCTACTCATATTTATTAAAAATTCGTGGTAAATCGCATAATTGGCAGGTTTCGAAGTGATTTTTTTATTGATATAATCATCACAACAGAAACATTTTATTGGAGCCAATAGTAGGAAGGTGAAAAGGATATATAAAATACAAGAGGTAAAAGAAAGACAGGTTTTTCTATTCTAGATTAATATTTTGACACAAGCCTACTTTATTTTTCCATTTTAAGAGTATATCACCGTTATGTATTTTGCAAGGCTTTTGAAATCCCAATTTTCTTTGAACCGGTACAAGGAAAATTAATACAGGCATGAATAAAAATGCATATATTACACGTTTATAGGAATACAATTTTAAATTATGGCTTCTATTTTTTATAAAACGAAATATTACAGACTGATAGCTTACACGGTTTAAAAAAAAATGGGATTTCAAAAGCCTTGAATAATACATAGTGGCGTTAGACTTTGGATGGTAGACAATTATAAATAAATAAATAAATAAATCATGTTTTAGTTTTTATACATTTTTTAATAATTTTGTTTTTGGCCTTTTAATACTTTATTTATCTTTTAAATTGCAAACTTTGTCGTAAAATGTGTTGCCTATGTTTTACACAAATTAAGGCCCAGCCAGAAAACATCTTAAAACATAAAAGTCTTAGATCTGTCACAGTATAAGGCTTATAGTAGCACTGTAGAGTCACGGCCTTATAAGTTTTATAATAACTGCGATATTCAATTTTTACTAGACATCCACTTTTTGAAAAAATAATGAATTGCTGCTTAACGACTCATTTTAGATATCATGTATAATACATAAAGTCACACTAAAATTGACCGAGGAATCTAAATATGCAATAATATACAAGGAGTTCCTATTAAAAAAACATAACTTTGATATAAATCACCCTGTAGAACAATTGTAATTTCATTGAAAATATTTTTAGGTTGTAGCCTTAGAGGTCCTACACCATGCCCCAAAAATGAATGTTAAAAATGTGCCTTAATAAACTCGCAATCTTCCACCCACGCACTAATGGCCCACCCTGTATATGCTGCGACTGTTCTAAGCGTTTAGTATCCTATAAAAAATATTTACAATTGGGGTTCAACAAAATAAATAAAAGTTGCAACTGTTTATCTAACATTAAAACTCTATAAAAAATAAATGTTTTTTTTCTAGTAAGTTTAATATATAATAATTATTGTTGTTTGTGACTGTAAAATTTTATATTATAGAAACTTGTAATAAAATAAACTACATTCCGTAAGATACATATTGTGACTAGTTTACAATAAATATTATATTTAAACATAAATACATTAATTTACTTACATTAGAAGCTTTAAAAAGACATTGAATTGATTTCTCCTTGTGTTTTTTTTTTTAGTTTTACATTTGATTTGTATCCTGTTTTACGATTTGGAACGACGTAAATCTTGCTTTGATGTTTTTCGTCACTCATGTTACTTGTGCTCAGGTACTTTTTTTCATATTATTTTGATTCTTTTTACCAATTTTTTAAAAAACCACTTCATTTTACATTGACTTACATAGAAAATTGACACCGCTGTTATTCGACATGCCAACTACAGTCAATTTCGCGAACTTTATAAAAAGAAGGACAGAAAGAAATTTGACCATTACCGATTCGCCTCCTCCTCTCTAGTCTTCATAGGATCCTTTTACGTCAAATCAGGTCCTTTCTATGGGTTTTTAATGATTATCAGTCACATGGGTTTCGGGTATTGTTGAAGACTTGGTACATTTACAGTCTGTACAACAAGACGGGATTGAAAAAGACACATTCAGCACCACTAACGCAAACAGCAAGGATGACGCTTTGCACCTCTGAGGTAGTATTCTCGAGTCACGAATATAGATTCGCATGCGAGATTTATGATTTGTCTCACTTGGTTCTCGTTCAACAAAGTGAAAAACATTGTAAAACACGTATGCGAATGTCGGTATTCGTGATTCGAGAATACTACTCCTGGCTAAAAATACAACATGGGCAAAGAAATGTCGAAGTCAAATTAGGCTGTCCCGCTTCATCTGCGGCGTAGTTTATTTAGAAACTATTTTGAAATCATAGACTTTCCATTAAAATTGGTGTATTTCTAACAATGTAATAACAATACACGACAAAATAACCCACACTTTTGAAAAGTAAATAACGTTAATAAACAATATAAACAGACTACAAGGCGTTGAGAAAAAACAATTAAAAATTATGTGCTCATCGTCGTTCTAATTGTCATTAAAACGATGCATATGCAACTAATAATACAAAAATTAATTCTGGTTGCCCAAATGTCAGTAATATTTAACAAATACACAATTTTAATCAAATTTTAGTCAAAATTAGCAAAATGTTGTAAGTAATCACGTTACGGAATGCAGTTTTATGTAACTCGTTCATGTTGAGGTTCCTCGCTCTGCTCGTCCCGCAAATATTCACCCGTTACATAAAATAGGGCATTTCGCAACTGGTTTCATAAATAGCTATTAAATATACATATTGTTTATTTCAAATGAATTTTTATGGTTAAAAACCAAAAAATAATGTTGTTTATACTTACAAGCTAACGTAGTGCCCACTAAATTATTTAAATAACCAAATCTAATAATCATTTTGTAAAATTTACTTGAATGCTGTTCACTATAAATTAGTTCGATGACTCTGAGATTTTTAATAACCACTTTAAGTTGTTCGTATAATAGATATGTATATCAACTCGTGACTTTTAACGAAAAAACGCTATCAACAAATTGTATATTTATTTATATACGATCGTAAGATTTAATGTTTTTGATTTTATCTGTATTGATTTAATAATCTAACCGCCGATCTTCTATTTCTCTTAACAATAGCTGTATTCACCATCGTAAAACGTATTTTAAGAATCATAGAAACACGTTTCATAATCAGCTGAGCTGATGCTGAACGATTGTCCATTAGAGGTCCATATTTTGTCCTAATAATGTCCTGGATCTCCATGAACAACGCCAGTACCGGTTTAAGGTACTTTTGCGCCCGGTGCTACTTGTAATCGCCACCCTATCTATTAATAATTTATACATCTTAGATTATTAAATTTGAATATTATTTAAAAAAAAAAAAAAACTAAATTACAAAAACTGTCCCTGTTAAATCCTCCCATTCTACTAAAAGAAGTTCCTGTGGGTTGTCGAAAAGTCAGTTGTGGATGGCGGCCTAAAAATAACCGAAGCCAGTCTTTTCCGGCACTTTCATTTTTGGACGAAATCCTATTTTCTATATTATTTTTAATTGCAAGTTGATAAGCCAAGTGCCTTGTCAAACCAAAAAACTTCGATTCCATTTGTAAAATATAATCGACCAATGATATTTCAATTTCAGGTGGCAAAATGGGCTTCCTACCCAATTTGGCAGCAGTCAACTCGTTAAGAGCAACATCTGTTTTTGCTGTTAGACGACATAAAGTAGTTTTGGCACATTATAATATTTAGAGGCCTTTAGAAAACCCATTTCTTTTATTCTAACAGCTTGTATAGCTCGCTTCATTGCCTGCTTATTCCATAACTGCCGTTTGTTTTGACTTTCTGGTTTTCGACGAGCCATTATCTGCAACGAAAATGGCAGTGCTGTGTTAAAATATAAGGATGGGTAATATGGCCCACAATGCCATAATAGCCTACCCTTTAGTGGGCCATATTGTCTGCCCCGCCACCATTTTACAAATAACTTATTCTGTAAAATCATCAATTGAATAAAACAATATTATTCGTAAGTAATTACATTACTAAACAACATACTACAAATATAAAATCGAGTTGATAGCTAATTTATAAAAAAAAATCTATCCGAAACTTACGAAGAAATAACATGGAAGACGCTTGAATCACAAATTTAAGCACAGCATTGACATATACGCTCTCTCAAGGTGATAAACTCGAACTAACAGTGGGAACTTTGATTTTCTGAATAATTCGGGTGGTCCATATTGACCGCCTGGGCCATATTTACCGAACTTACCCTATGTTAAAGAAAACTCATTTTACTTCATCCAATCTTTCGGAAATTTATTAAATCATTTCCATCATCAGGGAAACTACAAAATAATGTTGGAAAATAGTTACAATGGACCAAATTAAACTATAGTTACTACTTACAATAAGTTGAGATTGTACACTAAAGTCTTTTCAAATTTAATTTACGCCTGATGTAAACAGAAGCAGGTGGACGCTAAAATTGAGCAGGGCCGTATTTTACTTTTCCGTCTTGCAAAAATGTAAAATAAAAGAGTGTAATTTTGAAATTATTTTTTTATTACGATAAAAACATATTTTGTGAAGTAAAACTATAAAATAAATGCCATACACGGTCTCCCAGACTTTAGTGACATTTCTGGACGAAGATAGGTGAGCGACATAAACTGCGTTAACCTGCAATACAAATTAATAAATGTATTTGACTTTAAAAGAGATGGTTGCATTATATTTAGTTCATTACATATGTCTACTGTGATACAGAGCATTAAAACAATCATATTATAAAATTATATTGTACAGGGTGTCCAACTAATTGCAAATGATGAAGTGACAGCTTCGAAACCGGTCGCCAATTATATTGACTTGTGAGAAATAAAGGACCTTTTCTTTAACCCCTTACACTTAATCCCTACTACTCACATATGGCTACCCTCACTCCAAATAATATATATCTACTAAAAGCATTAAAAAACTTTAAATATAAGAAGTATTTGGTATTTGAATTTGGTATTTGATTTAAAATTGTGCACCTTAAAAAGAAACCTTTTGTATTTTTGATAACTTTTGTTCTTTATTGTTCTTGTTCTACTAGTATTTAGATTAGACAACTTGTACCCTGTATTATAGCAATCTTCCTTACTTGACTAAGCACTATTCTGAATCGGATAAATTAGTTAGACTTGAAAGGCTATCTTCATTAATCAAAATTACAAGTGGTTCTACCTGAACCTCTATAATATTATCCAACTTACACATTTTTACTTCAACTTTTTGGCGAACATGGTCGATACACTTTTTCCATTTTTCTGGTAAAATTAATAATATTACTTCATCAAAAAGAATTTTAATGTCTCCAGATTTAAATGTTGAGTTTTTATCTGTTACGTATTGTTTAACGTCAACCTAGATTAATTCAATAGGGTTAAGTTCACAATGATACGGAGACATGTGAAGTATTATGTTGTTTTGCTGCTTAGCCATTTCATCTATTACATACCTATCATAATGTTTATGTTGCTTACCAAGTTTTAGAAGTTGGATCTTAAGCATTTGGTAGTCGAATTCAATTTTTTCCCTTATAGCCATTGTTAAATATCACCTTTTTTAGACGTCGTAGATATTTTTTCCAGCTTTCTCGAATAATAATGCAGTTATCTTCTAATTTTGGTAGAGTATTTGAAAACCACTCTTTGAACGATTCTCCACACATTTCTTCATGGTAGTCACAGGATTTTTCAACTCAAATACATAAAGTGCATTAGAGACAAAGCCTTCTTCACGTCCAATATGGCATATAATGAGCTGTTTTTACGCACATACCTGATGGGTTTTTAAAACCAGTTAAAAGTTCTTTCAAAAAGGCTTGTCTGGATGAAAAAACCGACATATCGAAACATACTTTTGATTTGGTGTGGCCTGCGTTAATCCAAGTCTCAACAAGATAATATATTTCTTGCTTTTCTTCTCTGTACCGTTTTATTTTTTGTGGCGTAGGACGAAACAATTTTATTTTTGTCTAAAAGCAAACTATTTTTTCCTCGAGTTTTAAATTTAAAATTAAGGGTTTTGAAAAGCTTGTAAAATGTAGCTTGCTTAAAAGTAGACAAATATGGATCATCGTTGACTTCTTATAAAACCTTATCAATTGTTTGAAGTTAATTTCTAAAGAAGAATTGATGTACTTTGCGCCTTATTGCATTTTTATCAAAATCATTCACAGAACCACTAATTTGTTTATAACGTAGCTTTCTTTTTGGTTCAGAAAATTTATGAATCTGCCTGTACTCCTTCATAACATTAAAAACGGTTTTAGCGCACATCCCTGTTTTATCAACAACTCTCCTTTCAACATCATGTACCAACATATCAGGGTTCTATAAAATTTAATGCTTATAAATATTAAGAACCATTTCTTTAGTACGGATGATCAAATGTCCCTTTTTCAGTCGCTTTTTAGAAGGAGTAAAAACATTTTTCTGGAATTTATCTGCTGTATCTGTGGAGGACATAGTGTCACGCAGCAATTACAAAATATAGTCACTTAAGTGTCCATAAAATAGAGTAAAACATGTTCAAACTAACAACGACCACAAAAACAAAAAAAAAATAACACAATATATGTATATCTAAACTATAATATAATGAATTATAATCAATCAAACATACAAAATGTCCAAACTAACCAACACGGTGAATGCTACCAAAACGCCGTTTATAATTATCCAAATTGAACTGAATTCGACTCTGACAAAAAATATTTGCGCGTCGTCTAAATGACTAACGACCGATTAACCAATAGAAGCACAAAAAAATGTCACGTGAGCTGTTGCTGGATGAGAGAAATTGTTTTGACGCGGCGTAAATGAAATCTGAATAGACTTTAGATGTTCTAACAAATTTGTGTATATTTTTCATAAAATAGTCAACTAAATTTATAAATTAAAATTACTAAAATTAAAGTTATTTCCATTCCAATTCAGTTTCAATATACTTCGTTGTTCAATGTGTAATTTTTTTGTCAACAATTTGACATTGTCAAAAAATGGCATTTCACCAGAGTCAACACGAGACGGTTAACTTCATAGCAAAAATTGATTAACATTTAGGTATAGTAGTCATCAGGGTCAGCTGGTATTTTATCTTTGTCATGTACATTTTTTCCTTATAACGTTTTCTTGTTCTCATAAGCTAAAAGATAGGGTAGATGTCGCTGGTAACGTTCCAGCAATGTTGCTGTTATGAACATTTTCCAAATTTGTTTCTTTTACATTTAAATAATAATGATCTTATTTATCCATTAGTAATACTTATACCTATTGGACTTTTAATTGTATAATATATATATATATATATATATATATATATATATATATATATATATATATATATATATATATATATATATATATATAACAAAAGATGTGTTTTAAGAAATATATAGCAGGATTGTGTACAAAGATCAAAAATAAAAAGTCAATAGCACTAGAAGAAAGTTTGGCATCACAGCACGAGCATTTCACTTTGACGTCTGCCAGATTAACGTATTTCTAACCTATCATTTTATCTTCTTGTCCAATTTTTTGTTTCTATGTTTGGTGACTTTGGTGTCGTTTTACTTATATATATTTTACAATTTAACTTGTAAATTCATTTTTTTGATTGTTTTTCATTCATTATTAGTTACGTTTTTAAATTTGTTAGTAGTGTTTTCCCCGGTGAATGACATTTTTATCGTGGTTTTTTCATATTAGGTAGTTTTAAGTTTGTTTACAAACCCGAAGGAACTAACAATGCCCGGATCACGCCAGGATTTTGTTTAATTTCCGTAAAGTAAGTATTTCAATTTTATTGTAGAACCTTTGTGGTGTGAATGTTTATTATTGTTTAATACAGAATATATCTTATTATTGAAATCATACTTCGTTTTATTTTCCTTTTTAATGCTTTTTATTTTGTGTACTAAAAAAAAAGATTTTTTTCTGATTTGATGTGCTAGT